ATACACACCCAAGTGCTCCACCGACCATATACACACCCAAGTGCTCCCCCGACCATATACACACCCAAGTGCTCCACCGACCATATACACGCCCAACCGCTCCACCGACCATATATACACCCCAACCACGCCACCGACCATATACACACACAAGCGCTCCACCGACCATATACACACCCAACCGCTCCACCAACCATATACACACCCAAGTGCTCCACCGACCATATACACACCCAAGTGCTCCCCCGACCATATACACACCCAAGTGCTCCACCGACCATATACACACCCAAGTGCTCCCCCGACCATATACACACCCAAGTGCTCCACCGACCATATACACGCCCAACCGCTCCACCGACCATATATACACCCCAACCACGCCACCGACCATATATACACCCCAACCGCTCCCCCTCCCATATATACACCCCAACCGCTCCACCGACCATATACACACCTCAACCGCTCCACCGACCATATACACACCTCAACCGCTCCACCGACCATATCTACACCCCAACCGCTCCACCAACCATATCTACACCCCAACCGCGCCACCGACCATATACACGCCCCAACCGCGCCACCGACCATATACACACCCCAACCGCTCCCCCTCCCATATATACACCTCAACCGCTCCACCGACCATATACACACCTCAACCGCTCCACCGACCATATACACGCCCCAACCGCTCCACCGACCATATACACGCCTCAACCGCGCCACCGACCATATACACGCCCCAACCGCGCCACCGACCATATACACGCCCCAACCGCGCCACCGACCATATATACACCCAAGCGGTCCACCGACCATATATACACCTCAACCACGCCACCGACCATATATACACCCAAGCGGTCCACCGACCATATATACACACCAACCGCGCCACCGACCATATACACACCCCAACCGCGCCACCGACCATATATACACCCCAACCACGCCACCGACCATATATACACCCAAGCGGTCCACCGACCATATATACACCCCAACCGCTCCACCGACCATATACACGCCCCAACCGCTCCACCGACCATATATACACCCCAACCGCTCCACCGACCATATATACACCCCAACCGCACCACCGACCATATACACACACAAGCGCTCCACCGACCATATACACACCCAACCGCTCCACCGACCATATACACACCCAAGTGCTCCACCGACCATATACACACCCAAGTGCTCCCCCGACCATATACACACCCAAGTGCTCCACCGACCATATACACGCCCAACCGCTCCACCGACCATATATACACCCCAACCACGCCACCGACCATATATACACCCCAACCGCTCCCCCTCCCATATATACACTCCAACTGCTCCACCGACCATATATACACCCCAACCGCTCTCCCTCCCATATACACGCCCCAACCGCACCACCAACCATATACACGCCCCAACCGCGCCACCGACCATATACACGCCCCAACCGCTCCACCGACCATATACACACCCCAACCACTCCCCACCTCAGTATTTATCCAAGAGGAAAAAAGCATATCCACACAAAGACTTGTAAGTGGATGTTCATGATACCTTTATTTGGAAAAGTCCCAAACTGGAAACAAATGTCCATGAGCAGAAAAACAGATAAAAGCAAACAGGGGTGACTCTGTGTGGCAGATTCCACCAGGCGGTGAGAAGGGGTGAATTAAGGAAGGCGGCAGCAGCAGTAGCAAAAGTCGCTCAGTCGTGTCCGACTCTTCGCAGCCCCACAGACTACACCATCCACAGAACTCTCCAGGCCAAAATAGCGGAGTGAGCAGCCTTTCCCTTCTCCAGGGGATCCTCCCAACCCAGGGATGGAACCCAGGCCTCCCGCATCGCAGGCAGATTCTTTACCAGCTGAGCCACCAGGGCAGCCCAGGGTGGCGGGACAGTGCAGAATGCAAGAAGCCAAGGAAACAGGAGGACTCCCTGGCTGGTTCCAAGGATAGAAAGCTCTGGAAGACGCGACAGTGAGCGTTTGCGGTGGGGCAGGCGGGGGAGGGGCATGAGGACGCCTTGGGAGCCTTGGGTGTGTGCGCCACCCAGCTGGGGCTGCGGTTTAAACAACATACGTGTGGGTGAGTTTGACACATGTCGAAATCTATCAGGCTGTGAGTTGCAAATGTCCACAGGTTGCCTGTATCTCAGTGGAGCTGCTCTCGAAAGGGATGGACAAGAAAGAGGCTGAAGGTATGACGGCCCCACTGCAGAGCCCAGCCATGGCCCTGAAGCTGCATTTGCATTTGTTTTCAGACCCAGAACCTGCTTTTTGGAGAGGGGAAGGTCCTGCACATCATGGTAAGTACTACTGTTGGCGTCCCTCGACTGTTTCCCCGAAGTAACCACAGCCATGCACTCAAGTAGCTGTGTGCTCAGGAAAGGGGACCCCACACTTGTGGGGGTGTTAAATACAGATCACCTGTGCCCTGATCTTGAAGAGCTTCCATGGGTCCCTGTTAACGAGGAGACCCATGGGGTCAAGAAATAAACAGTCAGGTCAACTCCCAGCTACACTTTTCTGCTGGGCTCACAGACCCACTCGGTGGTCCTTCTCACGGTCTCTGAATTCATCATTGACATTGAGACGCTTGACAGTTAGTAATCCCAACAACTGGACTATGAGAGCACTCTGAAAAGTCCAGTGAGGAAGGTTAGGGATGGACTGTGTTTCCTTGGGCTCCAAAATCACTGTGGACAGTGAGAACTGTCATGAAATTAAAAGACAGTTGCTCCTTGGAAGAAAAGCTAAGAAAAAACTTAGAAAGCATATTAAAAAGCAGAGATATCATTTTGCCCACAAAGATCTATATAGTCAAAATTATGGTTTCTCCAGTAGTCATGTATGAATGTGAAAGCTGGTCCATAAAGAAGGCCAAGCACAAAGAATCGATGCTTTTGAATTATGATGCTGGAGAAGACTCTTGAGAGTCCCTTGGACTGCAAGGAGATTAAACCAGTCCATCCTAAAGGAAATCAGTCCTGAATATTCATTAGAAGGACTGATGCTGAAGCTTAAACTCCAATACTTGGGCCACATGATGCGAAGAGCCAGTTCATAGGAAAAGACCCTGATGCTGGGAAAGATTGAAGGCAAAAGAAGTGGGTGCAGAGGATGCGATGGTTAGATAGCATCACCAACTCGATGGATATGAGTTTGAACAAACTTCGGGAGACAGTGAAGGACAGGGAAGCCTGGCATGCTGCAGTCTATCCGGTCACAAAGAGTTGGACAGGATTTAGAGACTGAACAGCAATAACAACGATCCAGCAGTCCCGCTCCTGGGTAAATATCTGGACAAAACCATAATTCAGAAAAGCACATGCATCCCTGTGTTCACAGAAGCACTATTTACAACAGTCAAGACCCGGAAACAACCCAGATGTCCCCTGACAGATGAATGAATAAAGAAGATGTGATGTATGTAAATATACATCTATCATTCCACATTGGCTCAGATGGCAAAGAATCTGCCTGTGACGCGGGAGAGCTGGGTTCGGTCCTGGGCCGGGAAGATCCCCTAGAGAAGAGAATGGCAACCCACACCAGTGTTCTTCCTGGAGAGTTCCATGGACAGGGGAGCCTGGCAGGCTGAGTCCATGCGGTCTCAAAGAGTCACACACAACTGAGCGATTCACACACACGCACACACGTGCACACACACACACGCACACACACATGCGCACGCACACACCCACACACCCGTGCACACACACACAGTGGAATCTTACTCAGCTGTGAAAAATAAAGCAATGGCATTTGTAGCAACATGGATGGGCCTTGGTGTTATCATACTAAGGAAGTAAGTCACACAGAGAAAGACAAATCGTCTGTGATATCAGTTAGACTAGATATCTAGTCTAGCAGAATCTAGAAAATGATACAAACAGAAATAGACTCACAGACATAGAAACAAAAATTGTGGTTACCAAGGGGGAAAGTAGGCGAGCAGGATACACCAGGAGCTTGGAATCAGCAGACACACGCTCCTGTGTATAAACAGAAACGTCAGGAACCTACTGAACAGCACAGCGAACTGTATTCAATATCTCGTGATAACCTGGAGTGGAAAAGAAAACAAAAAGAATATATTCACCTAAATCGCTTTGCTGTACACCAGAAACGGACACAGCACCAAAAACCGATTTTTCGGAAACGGAAACCGCCAGCCTGCATTGGACGTGCACGTCCCGCCGGCACTCCCCCAACCCGCGCGCATGGTCGTCACCCCCACTGCTGACGCTCAGGGTCTGTCCCTGTCGGTCCCTCCCTCCACTCTGGTAAGCTCTTGCACGTTGCAGGCTGGGTCATGCGGTGATGCCAGGCCTGCAGCAGGCTTGGAGGCCAGGAAAGGACCCCGGCTCCTCACAGGGAGGGCGGCCGCTCCCACGCAGGCTCAGAATGCCCGCCCGGCTCAGGCTGGAGCTCAGCCTCCCGAGGGCATCCATCCAGTCACACCGGCTCCACCGTCGGGGCCCCAGGTTTTCCCGAGCAGGGCGGTGGCGGCAGCCCCGCACCCAAGGCTTGGACACCTGATGGTCACCCTGGAGCTCACCTCTCTCTGGGAGGCACAAGGGACTGGCTTTCTTGATCGGGTCCCCGGCGCGCACGCGGTGCCCTCGAGTTTTCACGGTCCTTCCATCAAGTAACTTAATCACAACCCCGAGCTCCGTTGTCCGCCTGCCATCAGCCCCCTCCTCACCCTGTTTCAAATGCCAGAACCACCGCTCGAGTGATGAGACAGGGCCGAGATGGCATTGGTGGGAGGCCTCACTCACCTCCGTGCTCTGAGCGATATTTCTTCTCCAATTTCCTTCTCCATCATCCAAGGTGCCTTCTGCAAAGATACATGATTTTCATAGCATGAAAAAAAAAACAAAAAACCTCAGCCTCTTTATAAAACACAAGAAAAAGTAGACTTAGGAAGAAAAATGAAGAGCTTGTGCAGCTGACAACACCGACGGCCTCCCAGGCCTGAGGGCCGCAGAAGTGACTGCACCCATCACGGTGACGCGGATCAGCCCGCCCCGGCCTGCGGGGCCTGCAGCGCTCGGTCAGCCCTGCACCGAGTCATCGGCGAGGCCCTGGAGGGGGACGCCCTTCAGGGGGGCCAGCTGCCCTCTCCCAACAGCCCATGTTCTTCCTCCCGCTCACCTAACCGCTCAGGTGCGTGTTCAGAGGGGCCTCCAGGTGGGACTCCGGGACCCAGGCTCCTCCTGCGGATCACTCAGCCCCCTTCCATCGTCCCGAGGAAGAGAGGGAGCCCCTCATTCTGACGGGTGGAAACCGGGCTGCTCGTGGGCTGTCCCCCGGGATGTCCCTTGGCCACGTGCTGGGTCAGGTTCAGGGCTGAAGACTGGAGTGGGGAGCGGGCCGCCTGGGGAGGCCTGGCGCTCTGAGGGTGGGCAACGTCCAGCAGGGAGGACAGGAAGAGGGGCTGGCCAAGCGCAAGGGACACAACGCGTCTGGGGGGCGAGGATGGAGCCGGCGAGAAGGCTGAGGGGGATGGCAGGGAGGTGCCAGCACCAGCGTTGGCCGCCAGGTCCCTGGAGACCCAGGGGCCACACCTAGAGGAGGATGAGGACAGGAGGGCGGGTGGGGTGGGGCAGAAAGCAGCAGTTTGAGGCTCAAATCCACTCAGAGGGATCCGGGTGCTCAGGGCATCAAGACCGCAGGAGGTCCTGCCCCCACGCCCAGCCCCTGCCCCGGAGAAGACGTGGCAGCACTTCAGCCATGGTGAAAGCTCTCCGCGTCTCCCACTGCCCTGGATGTGAGTGTCTGCACCCTGGAGGGGCCGGCAGGTTCCATCGGGCAGGAACCTGGGGGCCACATGGAGGGTGTGGATCTAGGAAGCCCAGACCAGAAGGGGCATAGAGGATGCTGACCCGGAGCGGGTTGGAGTCGCTGGAGAGAAAGATGATGGTGGCCTGAAGTAGGTGCTGGGCACCGGGCAAATCCAGCCGCTAGGCTGTGCTGGGGCGGCTGGCGTGATTTCCAAGCCGGGCAGCCAGGCTGGCCCATAGGCAGAACTTTGCCTCTTAGCCGGGCCCCGGGAGATCTCTGGGGAGCACAGTCAGGAGCCCGCGCGGCGGTCCAGGCGCGAGAGGCAAAGAGGGAGAGAGCCTCCGAGGGGCCGAGACAGTGGATCATGCAACGTGCAGGCGTGTCTGGGAGTGGGGGAAGGGGGCCAGAGGGCACAGGGGTCCGTGGGCAGGCTGTGGGCAGGGGCTTCCAGTGGAGAGGAGACACAGGTAGGAAATTATCAGGAGGGCGGGCTCGATAAGATCCGAGACCGATTCGACCTGAGCCCCAGGGAGAGGGCATGAAGGGGGACCCCAGATCCCAGCTGGGGTGACCGGATGGCGCTGCCCCAGGTGCGAGTGAGGACAGCCGTGGTTCTGGCCCCAAGGAATGTGGAGCAGACACGCAGGTGAGTCTGCAGCTCAGGAGAGGCGGCCCGAGGGGTGGCTGTCTGCAGGAGGCGGGCACCCCAGCGCTGCCCAGAGGATGCCCAGGACAGAAGTACCCCAGGGACTGAGCCAGGGAGGTTAGGCCTCTGCCCCGGGCCCCCGACAACCTTCCATCCCCCATCCTGCCACCCACGCCCTTCCCAGGCTGCCCCATCCATCCACAGAGCTTCCGTGGGAGCCCCTAACCCAGTGGGGGTCTGGTGGGGGCAAGGCACCCATCGACAGGTGGGGAAACTGAGGCTCAGGGGGTAGGGGCTCCCCCAGGGCTTGTGGGGGTTTGACTTGGCTACAGAGCTGGATGGCAGGCTTTGGACCCCTCACCCTGCCGACAGCTGCCCAGACCCCAGCGTGGCTTCTGTGTGCCGGTGACAGGAGCCGGGCCCAGTCAGCTGAGGCTGGCCTGGAGATGGAGCTCCCAGGGCGGCAGCCCCTCCTCTCCAGGCCCTAAATGCTTCCAGACCTGCTCTGCGTGGCCTTATCTGTACCTTTGATCCATCTCATTCATCCTGAGCCCGTCTCCCCTTCCTGTGTGCCCGCCCGGGGGGGTGGTGCACGGGGGGCCTCAGGGTAGGCCAGTGAGGTGCTGAGCGGAGCGTGGAGCTGGTGAGGGCATCCCCCTCTGTTCCTTGGGTGCGGCTGGAGGCAAGTCTGCCCTTCCAGGATGGAGCCCCATCCCCACAGCCACACCCGCCACAATCCAGGTGTTGAGTGTAGGTGGGGGTCCCAAGGTTCCACTCCTGGAATTCAAGCTCCTCACAAGAGGAGTTTGTTTTGATCACTGCTCTATCTCAGCAACTGGAACGGTGTCTGGTGTCCACTGAGGCTGAGTACAGGGTGAGTGAGTGAGGGAACAAATGAATGAATGAGTGAGTGAATGAATGAGTGAGTGAATTAATGAATGATGAGTCAATGAGTGAGTGAATGAGTTATCCAATGAATGAATGAGTGAATGACTCTGTGAATGAGTGAGCAAGCAAATGAATGAATGAGTTAATGAATGAGTGAGTGAATGATAAGTGAGTTAATGAAAGAGTGAGTGAATGAATGAGTGAGTAGTGAATGAATGAGTAAAGGAATGTGTGACTGGAGGAATGAGTGAGTGAGTGAATCAGTCAGTGAGTGAGTGAATGAATGAGTGAATGAGCATGTTAATGAGTGAGCAAGCAAATGAATGAGTGAATCAATGAATGACTGAAGGAGTGACTGAGTGATGGAGTGAATGAATGAGTGAGTGAATGAGTGAGTGAGTGAGTGAATGAGTGAGCGAATGTGTGACTGAAGAACTGAGTGAATGAGCATGTTAATGAGTGAGCAAGCAAATGAATGAGTGACTCAGTGAGTGACTGAGGGAGTGACAGAGGAATGAATGAACTAGAATGAGCCGGGTCGAGCCTCCCTGCCTTGGCCTCCACCCTCCCTCCTGCTTCCACTGACCTGGCTGAAGAGAGTAGGGCGGGTCTCGCACACGCCCGTGCCCCGCGTCCTGGACGCCCTGGCGCTCCTGGGGTGCTGTCCTCACTTCCTCAGGGCCCCGTCTGGGACTCCTGGATCTCCCCGCGCATTGCCACGGGCTTCCCAGCTGGATGCTCTGTGAGCCGGCCCTGGTCTACCCCCAGCCCTACTGGTCTCCAGGCCTCAGAGCCTCCGTCTGGGACAAGGAGGGCCCGCTGGAGGCTCAGGGGGCCTCACCCTCACCTTGTGGTCCAAGGGGTTAGGGCAGGTCTGGACACACGAGGAGCAGCGTGGGCCCCGCTGCCCCTTCTGGAAGGTGCCTGGCACAGCCCCGGGCCACTTCCCATCATGAGCACACGTCCTTCCAGGCGGACCCCACCTGGGGGAAGGGGCAGGATGGAGGCTGGGATGGGGACCCCCCAGCCTCGAGCTCAGACCCGCTCTTCCGGGCCCTGCCGGCAGAGGTGCACACGGCCCCAGGCGAAGGCGCTTCCCGCTCGGCCTTGAGACGCTCACCACTCTGCTGGACTCTCCCTCCTAGAAGTGGCTGTTGGGCTCCACAGGCCTGCACCTTCTCTGCCTGCTCTGGGAAGTGCTGCCGGGGGTCAGGGGCTCCTGGAGTGGGTGCAGAGGGCACCCCCGGGGGAGCCCCGGGCTCTGATGGCTGAGTGGGCTGGGGTCAGCTAGAGGCCCCAGGGTTCCTTGACCTCCATAAAGACCCAGAACCTTCTTCGTTTGGGGCCTGGCGAGACCCCCTGAGGTCAGACACTGCGTGGCCGGGCCCAGGCGCCTTTGGAGGGGGATGAAGGCAAAACAGCCTCCCTGTGCTCAGACTCCCCGTGAGGCTGGGGGCTGCCAGCCGCCACACCCAACAGGGAATGGCTGGAATGGGATGGAGCCTTCCAGAAAGGAGCCGCCACGTCCTCTTTAGGCGCCAGGTTGCCCAGTCGGAGGGTCCCACCCTCGGCCCCAGACAGGCCGCTCCACCATCTCACATATAAGGGGCTCCAGGTCCAGGGTCCTGTCCACCCACCATTGCCTCAGTGAGCGTGGAGGGTCCAGGCTGGGGCCTTCCTGCGGGGCTGTGTGCACCATGGGGAAGGGGGATCTATCTGGGACCAACCCACAAGCCCCATGTGTGGCCCCAGGGGACGCAGCCAGCCTGGGGTCTGGTGTGGGTTCAGAGCAAACACTGGGCTGACCCAGGTCTGGGAGGCTCAGGTGTGCTGGTGCGTGCTCTCTGCGTGTGTCTGTGTGTCTGAGTGTTTTCTCTGGGAGCCTGGCATTGACTGTGGCTGCCTGCCAGCTCCACAGGGGCACACGGGGTGGCTGGCAATGTCTTGGGGCCCCCCGCCTGTCCCTCACTTCTGGCTCAGGTTTTTGTCCTTGAGGCCCATCAGCAAGGGCCACTCTGTGACCAGGAGCCCTGTCATCTCAGGTCCAGATGGAGACCCTGGTCCTGAGAACCCCAGACTGGCCACTGCTGGCATCACCCGCTTCCACCTGGGGGACTTGCCGGGGTTCTGGGTCCCAGGAAGCCACGGCCAGGCCGCCAGCCCACTGTGGGGCTTCGCTCTATGGCCTGGCATCCTCTGTGTCCTTGGCCGGGGCCTAGGGTGGCCGCCTGCCTGGCTCCCCAAGGGAAGGTCCTGGGAAAGGGGTGACCTGGGGGGTCAAAGTGTCCAACCCCTTCCAGTAGGCCTCCCAAGTCCCACTGACGGGGCCCAGCTGGGCCCACTACCAACTCCAGACTGGAAGCAAGAGCAGCCTCTGAGGGTGAGGACAGGAGAGAAGCTGGATGCTCTGGGCAGTGGGGGTCAACATGTGACAGGGAGGAGAAGGTGAGTGGGGGGGGCGGGACTCCATCTCCCCTGGCCTCTGCCCTACGGCTAGAGTCTGAGCCTTTAGGGGGTGACTCAGATACAGGAGACCCTTCTGGATGTAGGACCCACGACAGGAGGGGCAGGGAAGGCACCCTGGGCAGCAGATTTCAGCTCCATAGACAGAAGGGCTGGCCAAGAGCCATGGCCCCTCAACATAGGAAAGTGCTGAAAGCAAAGGTAGTGAGCATCCCATGGCTGGGAGTGATCAAGCAGAGACCAACTAGGAGAGCTGTGAAGGCGCGCTCAGGGGGAGTGTCTCAGCCCTGAGCACCTGGGACCTGCATCACTGCCCTCAAATAGAGGGATCTTGAAATCAAGCCACAGCCGGCAGGTCGGAGGCTCCCACCGCAGCCACAAGGTGGCTTGTTGCTGGAAACGGGTGCTGAATTCAGAAGAGCATCCTGAGGGCAAATGCTGACTCCCACAGAGCCCGCGTGCCCCCGTGCTGGGCTGCCTTCCCGTCCGGATGCTCTGCGGGCACCTGCAGCTCGTTTATTTGGGGGAGCACTTGAATTAAGAAAGATGGAATCAGAATCCCTGACCTCTAGGGATAGGTACCCTCAGGCTGGGGTCTGCCAGGTGGTCAAAGCTGGCTGCCTGGGCACCTTCCTCCAGGGTGAGGCCACTGCCGGTCACTCACATGTTCAAACATCACAGCCGCCCACCTCCCCCAGTGGGCTGAGCAGGGCCACGGAGCAGCATCCATGGCTCCCCATGCTCAGGTCAGACGCCCCCATGTCCCTGTCTCCAGGCAGATGTCACAGTTTCAGGGTCCTGCCGGCCTCCTCACTCCCCCGGCCTTGCTGACATCCCACACCTGCATTTTTCAGTCCCTGAAAAGATATTTGAATATGAGGCTTTCAACCCTGTTTCGATGGACAAGTTCAGACACTTTTTCCAGTAGTCATGTACAAATGTGATGGTTAAACCATAAAGAAGGCTGAATGCCAAATAATTGATGCTTTTGAACTGTGGTGTTGGAGAAGACTCTTGGGAGTCCCTTGGACTGCAAGGAGATCCAACCAGTCCATCCTAAAGGAGATCAGTCCTGCATATTCACTGGAAGGACTGGTGCAGAAGAAGAAACTCCAGTACTTCAGCCACCTGATGAGAAGAACCGACTTATAGGAAAAGACTCTGATGCTGGGAAAGATGGAGGGCGGGAGGAGACTCGATGAAGGAAGGCCCCTGAACCCCTCGCTGGTGCCGCTAAAGTCTGGGCACTGGCTTCACCCCAGCTTCCCCAGAAGAGAATTGGACCACAGCGCTCCCTCCCCCGAGCCTGGCTTTGAAACCAGAGGAGAGGAAGCCTCCAGAGAGGGGGTGCACGTGGGGAGTGGGGTCCAGCGAACAGATGCAGGACCCTCAGGACAAAAGGGAGAGGGGCCCACCTGAGGCGGCCATGCTCTGGGGACAGATCGCGTGGCTTGTCAGTCCCCTGTAGCTCGTGTCCAATGAAGGGGGGAAATTTATGTCTGACTGTCATCCTGGGGGCTCTGAGAGCTTGTGAGGGGTCTGGAGCAACAACTGGAGCCCCCAGAGTGGACCGTGGATGGCTGGTGGGGTGGGGGGGGCAGGAGACCCAAGGACGGTCAGATCTGTCCATGGTGGTGGCCAGGAGGGGCAAGGGGGAGCCCCTGCAGGCAGGGCCAGTTCTCGGGGCCAGAGGGGCCCCAAGGACAACCAAGGGCTCCAGTGGCCGAGTCTCAGCCCAGCCAGTGGGGTGCGGATTCATGGGTCGGCCTGGAGCTGCCGACCACAGCTGTGAGGCTAGGACGTGCGTTTGGGCTGGAGTGGGCAGGGGGTAGGCTGGCTCAGCGGGTGATGGCGAGCAGACAGTGGACAGGGAGTCTGAGTGCTGGGACAGGGAGGAAGCAGCGGTCCCCATCGCCACGCCGAGGAGAGTCCAGGGGGGTGTGTGACCCACAGGGCCCTAGGATGCGGCAACCACAAGGTCAGCGGTGAGCTTCTGGACGCTGGTCATCAAGTGCAGATTCAGAAAGGAGGTTGCTGAGGCCAGGGGCTGGGGCGGGGGTGGGAGTGAGGGTTTAATGGGGACAGAGTGTCCGTTTGGCAGGATGGATGAATTTCTGGAGACAGATGGTGACCTTGGTTCTTCAGCATGAGTGTAATTAATGCCACTCAGAAACAGTTAAAATGGTAAACTTTCCATTATTGTGTATATTTTACCACAATCGAAAGAAGATGGAATCCACTTTGCCGTCCTCTATTTTTAGATTTTTATGTGGCGATTTGGCCATGATCTGGCTTTGGCACAGTTTGAAAAGCTCATCATTGTTTAAGCAAAGTGGAAAGCCCTTTATTCTGTGTAAACTGTGGGGGAAATCCTTTAGTCTCTTGAAACGCTACTGTGTTGCGTTTAAAAGCGGCAGATGAGGCCTCCATGGGCTTCCTTGGTGGTAAGGAATCCGCCTGCAGCGCAGGAACTGCAGGTTCGATCCCTGGGTTGGGAAGCTCCCCGGAAGGAGGAAACGGCAACCCACTCGTCTTCTTGCCTGGAGAATCCCACGGACCGAGGAGCCTAGCAGGTTATAGTCCATAGGGTCGCAAAGAGTCAGACACAACCGAAGCGACTTAACGCGGACGCACAAGCCACTGTAAGTGCCCAGATCAAGCACCGCCGTGAGGTTTAGTTCGCTGCAAACGTCTGCGCTAGTCACTTTGACCACCTGCATCGTACGGCGTCAGCCAGTGGCGGCTGGGGCCTGAGTGACGGTCGTGTTTCTGTAAACTCCTACCAGCAGGCACCCCTCCTCGGGACTGGCTGCCTCTGGCTTCTTTCATTAGGGGACCGAGGCTTTGTAACACAGACCCAGAGACCTGGGGCCCACAAAGCCTAAAACACTTTCCCTCTGACCTCCTATAGAAAAAGTTTGCTGCTTCCTGATCAAATACATAGGATACTCCAATGCTGAGTATTCCCTCAGAGTTTTATAATTCTTCCTCTGGGTCACCACGGAAGCCAGCTGCAAGACAAAATTAATAAGAAGCTCAAATGCTTCATCTGCCCAACAACGGCCCCAGGATTGGAACCTGAGCAGCTGAAATTCTGGTGGTCTTCCCGAGGGAGGCTGCGGAGGAATAGCATTCGCAGTGGAGAAGTGGCAATCCCGCTCATGGGGAGGACACGTCTGACATGCTTCTAGGTCCCAAAGAGAACTGAGAAGACATACAGGGAGCTGGGAGCCCTGCCCAGTAGTCGGAGGGGGGAGGGCAAGTCTGGGAGTCACCCCACCATGGGAGGGATTGCCCAGAGACGGGGAGCAGGGTCCAGGCGGGGACAGCAAGGTCCCACAACAGGGATGGGGCAGCAGGGTTCTCTGGCATCCCTAATCACTGCAGATGGTGACTGCAGCCATGAAATTAAAAGACGCTTGCTCCTTGGAAGGAAAGTTATTACAAACCTAGACAGCATATTAAAAAGCAGAGACATTACTTTGTCAACAAAGGTCTGTCTAGTCAAGGCTATGGTTATAAAGAAAGCTGAGTGCCGAAGAATTGATGCTTTTGAACTGTGGTGTTGGAGAAGACTCTTGAGAGTCCCTGGGACTGCAAGGAGATCCAACCAGACCATCCTAAAGGAGATCAGTCCTGGGTGTTCTTTGGAAGGACTGATGTTGAAGTTGAAACGCCAATATTTTGGCCACCTGATGTGAAGAGGTGACTCATTTGAAAAGACCCTGATGTTGGGAAAGATTGCAGGCAGGAGAAGGGGATGACAGAGGATGAGATGGTTGGATGGCATCACTGACTCAATGGACATGAGTTTGGGTGGATTCCGGGATTTGGTGATGGACAGGGAGGCCTGGTGTGCTGCGATTCATGGGGTCGCAGAGTCAGACACGACGGAGTGTCCAGTTCAGTCTAACTGGACTGAGCTGAAACGCCATCGCAAGTGGCAAAGCTCTGACTATGGGGGAGACCACGTGACGACGGAGATGGAGTGAGGCAGATACAGCCCAGGACGGCTGGGAGCCCCCGGAAGCTGGAAGAGGCAGGAAGGACACTCCCCTAGACCTCACAGGGAGCTCACTGACCTGCAGCCAGGGTCAGGGACAGCCTCCCCGGAGCTGCTTCCTAGGGACAGCGTCCCCAGAACCCTCCCCGAAGGCCATCTGCAAAGAGACAGGGGGTCTGGGCTGCAGCCCCTGGAGCAGCCCACCTGCCTGGCAAGTGCCTCGCATCCGAGCCTGGGCTTCTCGGCTCCAGGCCGGGTAAGGCTGGACACATGGGGGCCAGAGAACCCAGGGCCTCACGCCGCCTCTCCCAGAAATGACGGCACCCCGCCAAACCTCTGCTTCCTGCTGCCCGCATCCCCAGGGCCGTCCGCCCAGCATGCACCTGGACGGCAGCTGCCCATACTCCAGCCACAGCCCAGGCCAGGAACCCAAGGAACCGCCGGTCGGAGGACAAGGGGCTTAGGGGACGGGGGCAGCTACGGCTGCCGACCGACAAACCAGGGTCCGATTGACAGCAGGTCCTGGGCACCCAGCATGGGGGTGGGGCAAGAACCAGGGAGGGACCAGAGCCCCGGCCGCCCCAGCCCCGGCTGCCCGTGGGCCTTCACGGTAAGAGCAGGCGATGCCCTTTGCTCGGCTGATGGGCAGGGTGCCCCAGATTGGGCCTCACAGCCCAGCCTGCACCCTGAATACCGGGTCCCACGGGGTGCTGGGGGACTGTGCGTGCAGGGCCTCAGGCCTTGGGGCTCGCCAGGGCAGGGGTGGGCTGGGTTCCAGAAATCGGGCAGTGTCCCTAACCCCAAGGGCCCCCACTACACGCCTGGGCTCCCCACCACACTCCCGGGCTTCCCCAGATGCCACTACTTGGAACCACTTGGAAATGGAGCCCTGTCTGGCTCACAGGGTCAGTGAGAAGACCCTGTGGCCCCCACACCAGCCAAAAACAGCTCAGTCAGCAGAGCACGCGGAGCTATTGGTTATAAATCGGAAACAGCCGCGCTCTGCCTACGTCTCTGCCTGCTGCTTCCTAGCTGAGGGGCCCAAGGTCCAGCCAGGCCCGGGCCTGTCCCGAGGACACGGGCCCCTCCAGTCTCTACTCCCGCGCCTCAGACTCCCGCAGCCGCTACGTGAGGATGGAGGGGAAAACAATTGTAACTGCGGGGTGACAGCCATTAGCGAACCTCATCGCGGGGACCCTTTTGCAATGCATGCACCTGTCGGGCTGTTTCGATGTATGCCTAAAACTAATGCATTGTTCTCTGTCCATTTATCTCAATTGTTATTATTTTACTTTATTTCGGGGACCATGCCCTACCGTTGGTGGGCTGCTAATTCCTCAACCAAGAACCGAACTCACACCCTCAGCAGTGAAAGCGCAGAGCTCTAACCCCTGGACCACCAGGGGACTGCCTTTCTCAATCTTTACAACCTCAGCAGCAGGTGCCGTGAGCTGCGGTGGGCCCTGGCCTTGCTGCCACAGCCTGGCGGGAGCCTCCTGGGTGGGGGTCTGGGGAGAGACCTGCTCACGACCCCCACACGGAGCCTCACTCTGGGCCTCTGCCTGCATGCAGACTCCAGCAGCCGCTGCCTCACTTGGCCCCGTCCGGGGTTCTCCCGGCTCCCGCTCACTCTGCCCTTCTGCAGCGGCCCCCGGGCCTGTTTCCAGCCGGCTGCCGGCTAAGGCCAGCCCCCAGCCAGTCCACAGCTCTGCCTTCAAGACCTGTGCAGCCCCAGACACCCACCACCTCCCAAGGCTTCACCTTGCCCCTGTGGTCCCCACCTCCCAAAGCATCACCCCGCCCCTCCCTGGCCCACCCTTCAAATGCACCCCTGGGCAGCAGGCAGGGGGGCCCTGGTAAAGCAGGGCCAGAGCCCTTTGGAGCTCCCGGGCTTGTAGGAGGAGCAGGGTCCCCAGGACCGGCCGGCTGGGGCAGCGAGGCCGTGGCCCCTGCGGAACTCCCAGAGGGGAAGGCTAGCTGGATGTCCCCCTCTTACCGCCTCCTTCTAGATGCCCCGGCCCCACCCAGGATGCCCACCCAGCTGGGGGCTGGCTCGTCCCTGCTCCCTGCCGGCCACGGGCTTCTTGGGCTTTCACGTGCTCCTCGACCTGCGTGCTCTGGGCACCTCCCGTGGGTCATCCCTGCCAGATCCAGCCCTCACCAGCCACCCCGGGCTCCTGGGGGCGGGGCCGAGCCGGCCCCTGCGCATCCTCAGTGCAGACGCCCAGCCCGAGCAGGAACCGAGAACCGTCATTGATGAGAGACGGGCTCTCCTGGTGAGTCTGGTTGGGGGACGGGCTGCGGGTGCGGGCGCTGACTCTCCCCAGGGATTCTCCCACCTGGCTGCCCAGGGAGGCGACCCCCTGCCCCTCTGAGTGGCCCCTTGTGGCTCCGCCCGTGGGGTGGCGGCCAGCCCTCCCCTGTGAGCCGCCGCCCGCCTGCCCGCAGTTTGGACTTTCTGGGCTTCCAGTCCAGTGCCCTCCTGAGCTGGTGGCGAGGGGTGTTTGATCACAGCCGGTCACCCCAGCCCCTTCGGAGTGGGCCTTGTTAACAGCCCCTGCCTGGGTCTCCTTACCTGTGACAGCCCCACCTCCAGTGCCGGCCAGCAAGGGGCCCTGTGGGGGGGAGCCTCGGGAAGCAGCTGCTGAATCAGGTCCCCGAGTCGGCGAGCCAGACGTGGTCACAGAGGAGGGAGATGTGGTTGGCACCGAGGGGCTGACATTTGAGCTGGGTATGGAAGGCGTGTGGGGCCTGCAGCAGGAAGGAAGGAGGAGCTGCCGCTCCCCGCAGAGGGGGGCAGTGGCCCAGGTGGTGGGAACCGGGGCACCTGGAGTGCGGGAGGAAGAGTGAGAGCCCAGGGCTCTGGCCAGGGGCCTGGGTTAGAGCTGGGGGTGCCGGGGAGCCACAGAGGGCTCCAGAGCGAGAGCCGTGGCCTCGGCCCTCTCAGCCGGAGGGCAGAGCCTGCCTGGCCACAAATCAGTGATCAGCAAGCGGTCCCTGTGGTCCCACCCCCGGGTGAGACGTGGCACCTCATCTTAGGCGCTCCCAGCCAACCACGGCCACGGGCATCGCCCTCTTAAAGTGACAGAGCCCTGGGGTCTGGCTCGAGGCTGAACACGGGAGGTGGGGATGGGCGGGAGGGCAGGCAGGCGATGGTGAGGGGAGGGGGCACTGCCTGGGCAAAGGGCAAAGACAGGAATGTGCAGCGCGTGTGCCCAGAGAAGAGCCGCCAGACTTGGCCGGGCCCTAGACGTCCGGAACAGTGGGAGCAGGCCGCCGAGGCTGGCCGCAGGCCCACGGAGTCCTGTGGCTCCCAGCCCAGACACGCGGCCCAGGGGGCGTCCTGAGGTCCCTCAGAGACTGGCCTCCAGGCTGCCAGCCTGGACCTGAGTTGAGAGGCACGAAGGGGACAGGTCAGCCCTGCCCGGTGGCCTTGGGGCTGCCACCTCCTCACTAGCATGCCCCTCCAGCCCGGAAGGAAACTGGGAGCCGGCACAAGCTAGAACTCGCAGGTAAACAAAGCAGGAGATCTGGCTGGGAAATGGAAGGCCCAGATCCCAGAGGGCCCTGAATTGTCTCCAAGGGCTCCCCTGAGTCCCTGGGGACAGCAGGCTGACCCAGCGAGGCGGGGTCACCAAGGACAAGGTCCTAGTGCAGAAGGCGGAGGTTAGCCCCTCGCAGGCACATGAGGCCCCGATCACGGACACTGACCCCACAGACAGGTGGGCCCCAGGACCAATCCCGCACTGGGACTGGGGGGCCGACTGGAGCGATATTGAGCAGAGAGATCGAGGGGCTTTCACTCCACTGTGTCCCAGGGTGGGTGCCGAGTCACTGTGGGAGGCCCGGCCCCCCTCAACCTTCCTGTTCCCCCAGCAGCCCGGCCCTGTGGGGGCCCCTGGTCTGGGCCCGACGGCCACTAAGCCCCCAGGCTGCCCTGGACCTCACTTGGCCTCATCCACCGTCCTGCCTTCCGCTGCCCCCAGGCTCCCCCGGTAGCCCCCAAACTCCTTCGCTCCCCAGCCAGACTGACCCCCACTGTCAGCCCCGGGGTCCCCTGCCTCCCGCTGACAGGGCCCCGCCCTCTGGTGCCCCCAGGCCTGCTGGGGTCTTGCAGCCTGCTCGCAGGTTCGCGGAGCCCCTGCCGGGGAAGGGGCGTGGCTGCCCGCACCAGCCCCTCTCAGCGACCTTAGCCCTGGCTACTGCCCACCACGAGGGCGGCAGGGGCTGTCATCAGCTGGGCCCCCTGTCCACACCCCATGACTCGGCCTAGCCGCCCCCTGCACCTCCCCAGTCAGCAAAGACTCCCCAGACCGGCCGCCACCCTCGCTGAGAGCACGTCCGTCCACCAAGAGCCTCTCTGCTTTCTCCAGGTGTTGCCTCAGCTGCCCTGACTCACAACCAAGCTCCTGCAGGGCCCCCCCGGCCTCAGAGCGCCGGGGTCCAAGACCCCCCGCCTCGAAACCACACAGGGAGGCTTCAGACCCCTCCCCTGAGCCTGAGGTTCTGGACTCCTGTCACGGAGAAGGTGGGGATCTCAGGACGGCTTGTCTACGTCTCCTGACGGGGAGCTCACCCCTTCACGGCACAACTGACCCTTCAATTGTTAGAAAGTTCTCTGTCTCCGTGGTCCCCACTGAGGGTCGTCTCCCAGCCCCCACGGGTCTGGTTACTGGGGGAAGTGGCAGCACCGATTTTGAAATCCTTTTGAAAATGTTTTTCCTTTGTTTTGTTTTATTTAGAAATTTCCCAAATTTTTACCAAGTTAAAGACACAACCACAAGAATGTGTAGCCTGGGTGGACAATTGGCATAAACAACCCCTCCCCCACTACCAAGCCTCCCCCCAAACCACTGCCCCCCAACTCAGCAGCAAAATATGCCAAACATGTGTAAGAAAACAGCAGTGCAAACAGATCCAGGCCAGGGGCACAGATATACACACGCACACACACAAACATGCACACACAAGTTCACACATTAAAGAGCACGTGTGCACCCACATATATGTATATATACACACGTGAAAACCCACACACACGTGTGCACCCACATATATGCATATACACACATGTGAAAACCCACACACTTGTGCACCCACATATGTGTATATATACACACACGCGCGAAAACCCCCACACACGTGTGCACCCATATATATGTATATATATACACATGCAAAAACCCACACACGTGTGCACCCACATATGTGTATATATACACACACGCGCGAAAACCCCCACACACGTGTGCACCCATATATACACACACACTCGAAAACCCACACACACATGTGCACCCATATATGTGTGTATATACACACATGCGTGAAAACCCACACACACATGTGCACCCATATATATGTATATATATACACACACGTGAAAACCCACACACACGTGTGCACCCATATATATACACACACACTCGAAAACCCACACACACGTGTGCACCCACATATATGTATATACACACGCGCGCGTGAAAACCCACACACACGTGTGCACCCATATATATATACATACACACACACGCGAAAACCCCCACACACGTATGCACCCATATATATATACATGAAAACCCACACACACATGTGCACCCACATATATGTATATATATACACACAAAAACCCACACACACATGTGCACCCATATATATGTGTATATACACACATGCGTGAAAACCCACACACACATGTGCACCCATATATATGTGTATATACAAACATGCGTGAAAACCCACACACACATGTGCACCCATATATATGTATATATATACACACACATGCGAAAACCCACACACACGTGTGCACCCTCATATATGTATATATACACAAGCGTGAAAACCCACACACACGTATGCACCCATATATATATATATACACACACACGTGAAAACCCACACACACGTGTGCACCCATATATATATATATATATATATGCACACGTGCGAAAACCCACACACATGTGCACCCATATATATGTATATATATATATACACACACACGTGAAAACCCATACACACGTGTACACCCATATACATGTGTATATGTATATGTATATATATATACAGACACGTGAAAACCCACACACATGTGTGCACCCATATATATATACACACACACGTGAAAACCCCCACACACGTGTGCACCCATATATATATATACACACACACACGTGAAAACCCACACACACGTGTACACCCATATATATGTGTATGTGTATATATATATACACATGCGAAAACCCCCACACACATGTGCACCCATATATAAACCCACACACACGTGTGCACCCATATACTTATGTATATATATGTATATATGAAAACCCACACACAAACATGCAGGCATGCACACACAGAGCCATGGAAACACTCCCTGCACGCATGTGCAAACACGCATGTGCGCGTGTATCCACACACACATGACGCACGTGAGAACACGCACAAGGGCGCACATGCACACAGAGACACACGACGCTGCTGTGGTCCCTGCACGCATGTGCAAACACGCATGTGCGCGTGTATCCACACACACATGACGCACGTGAGAACACGCACAAGGGTGCACATGCACACAGACACAAGGGCGCACATGCACACAGAGACACACGACGCTGCTGTGGGGTCGCGCTTTCTCCAGTCCAGGCTGCCGAGTAGGAACAGGTCTGTGTGCGGGTCAGTGTGCTGTGTCCAGCCCCCCACGGTCCCTGCCAGCAGTGGTTTGTCCTCTCTCTGCCTCAGTTTCCCCATCACCTCCCCGGCCCCCAGGCCCTGTGGAGAACCCAGCGGGACCGGAATGCCAGGAGCTGCTGGCCAGCACATGCAGCCACGTGAGGTGGGGCCCAGGTCCGTGTCCCACAGCGGTCCTCAGAGCCGGGGGCCTGGGGACCCTCCAGGGCACAGTGGACACTCTGGGGCCTTAGCAACCCTCCCCCAGGAGAACTCGACCATCAGACCACGGAGGATCTCTTCTCAGAGGGCCCTGGGACTCCAGCAGCCTGGACACAGTGTTGGGTGGGGGGAGCAGGGAGGACCCGGGACCAGCCACAGCGTCCACCTTAGAGCCCGCAGGCTGCACCCCGAGGACACCCCAGCTCCTGCTGTGCCTTCTCCAGCCTGCCATGGACCACTGTGGCCTCGAGGAGCTGCCCTGGTCAATGGCCTCCAGGACTGGCTGGTCCATCGCCTCCAGCCCAGGTCCTCTCCCCGCTCCTCGGCTGTCAAGACCAGCTTTAAGAAATGGGTTCAAACTCAGACCTTCCTTCACTGGAAGCCCCTGATCATCACTGCCCTGCAGGCCTGAGAGCCAGCTCTGACTACTCCTGCCCTGGGGCTGGGGGATGCCTGGGAGCCCTGCTGAACCCTAGGCCAGCAACGCTCCCCCCAGAGGGAACAGGACTGGCAGGGAGGTTTGGGGCCTGGGGGGGACTCTGGGGTCCAACGGGAGGGTCTTGGAACCAGGACTCATGCCTCCTGGATGAGGAACAAGCCTGCTCAGCGAGGGAGGGCGGGGCTCGGGGAATTTCGCTGGCACGGGGACAGGAGGGAGAGGATCTTGGCCTTCCGAAATGTTTACTACATCAGGAAACTAATTCACTACGCACGGGATTCAGTGACGAGGTACAAAAACACACACGCGCACTCGGGATAAATTGCGTCCAGGCCGGTCACCCTTGGCCCGGCCCGGGGAGACGGCGGTCACACGTCACGAGCTGGGGGTCAGACGGCTGGGGGCGAGGGCAGGGCCGCATCTCACCCCACCCCACCCACCCCAGCCCGGCCCGCCCCACCCCCCTGCGGGCTGTCACGGTTACACAGCTCCAGACTCTGTTTCCTCATTAAGGCCCCACCGAGGGGGGCCGCTGACCCGCGGCCTCAGGAATGTGCCTTCACGGAGCCCGGGGCGGGGACTCGGGGTGCCCGCTGCCCACGCAGGCCCGCCCGCCGGAGGCTCTCCAAAGGCTCTCCCACCTGCCCAGCCTGCGGGCCCCCGGGGGAGTCCACAGCATCCAGACATTTGGCCAGGCCAGCCCCAGCCAGGACAAACAGAGCCCGGCTGCACTCCTGCAGTGGACTGGCAGGTCCTGGACCCGGAGTGGGGACAGGCATGCTGACCCGGGTCTGCCCACAGGCGCCTGAGCCCAGCGCAGCAGACCTAGGGCAGCGTGGCCAGAGGCTGTGTGCGTGGGGGTCAGAGCGCACGGCTTCGGCCTCGGTGGCTGGGCCGCGCACCCCCAACACAGCCGGCACCAGCCAAGGCTCCCCGGACTTGAGGGTCCACGCAGCTCACAGTAGCCCCGAGAAGCCAGATGAGGGACTGCCCGCGGCACAGACAGGAAACAGAGGCTTAGAGAGTCAGCCCACTGGTCAGGTCCCCCCGGCCAGAGCCCCTCAGCCTCCCGCCTGCCTGGCCCTGCCCGTCCACCCCTGGACCCACACTGGGCTCCCCACTTCCCCTCCAGGTCCGAGGCACCATCTTTCTCGGGAAGCGAGCTGGTCACCCCCCTCCCACCTCACCCCAGCTCCCCGGGGCTCTGGGGCGACTGTGCAGCAGCCAGGGCTGCCCTCGGACCCAGGTCCTGTTAACACTTGCCTCCCAGCCCCCAGGACGCCGCGCTGCCCCCAGGCCTGCGGCCCCAGCGTCCTGAGCGTCCTGAGCGCCTCCCCGTCCCCTCTGCCGTGCGTCCCTTCCCCTGGTCTCGGCCCCTTCTCCCTGAGCTGGGAGCCCCCAGGACAGGAATAGTACCCTGCAAAGCAGCCAGCCAGCTCCATGGACGCCGGGGAGGTGAGGGGCAGCTGGGCACCCCGAGGCCTGCTGGGACCCCCACTGTGGTCCAGGGGGTCCTGGGCTTTCCCTGTGGCTGCAGGAACCCCAGGTGGAGCTTCAGGTGGACAGGCATGGTCCTCCAGCTGGTCACCGCACCTGCCCACTGCAGGCCCGTCCGGCCAGCTGTGGAGGGAAGAGCCGCGCGGCAAAGGCTTCCAGGCCAGGCAGGGAAGTGTGGTCATCCGGCCCAGGGACCCCCGGAGTGAAGCAGAAGCATCTACTTTCCGCAGAGATACGCACCCCCGCGTTCTCCATCACGGCAGCCAGAGGCGGGGCAGGGCCTTCCTTGACGAGGGGTGACTCCTGCTCCATCTCAGGCCCCACCCATCTCAGCTTCGAGAGCCCGGGGTCCCCCTCTCTGGAGCCTTATGTCACCCTCCTGCGTCCCCCCAGCCCCACACAGATGACCGATCCCGCCTCCCTCGGGTATCCACCGGGGCGTTCTGTACCAGGACGAGACTGGTGGCTCCAGGAAGGCGGGGCTGGTTTGCATTTGATGCTGTGGACAAACCAGCCTGCTGCCCGGCACAGGTGACGAGAGGCGCTGGGCTGGCCCGGACAGGGCGGGCGGCTGCACCCTCCGTAACCCGGCCAAGCGGAGGCCAGCCCCGTGAGCCCGCGCAAGCAGCAGGGCGGGGCGGCGGGCGGGAGCCGTCACCCGGGTCTGGCCCTGGGCCACGGCCCAGCAGCGCCCTTGGCACGAGCCCCCGCCAGACTCCCCTTTCTTCCCCGTGGCCCCGCGGCTTCCTGCTCCTCTCGGCCCCGGAGCTGGGCCTGCCTGGCCCTCCAGACAGCCCGAGCCTCCCGCTCGGCCACGGCAGCCCAGAAAGTGACCACAGCGTCTGGGGACCTTCCGAACCCTGGATCCCGGCCGTGGCCCTGCCTGCTGCCTCCGGGCGCCCAGACGTGGCACAGGCAGGCCTGAGGGACCCACAGAAAATCTGGATCCTTGCAGAGCCGTTTCCAAGGAGAAGAGGAGGCGTGTTCCTGGGAAACCCCGGCGGGGTCACACATTGACTCACCGGGGCCCTCGTGTGTGGGTCAAAGGGGGCCTCTCCAGGGAGCACCCAGGGTCCTCCCCTTCCCTGCCCAGCCTCACCTCTGCCCACCCACCGCCACCCTCCTCCAGCCATGCCAGGCCTCACTGGCCTCGTCCGTGCCGAGCTCCATATCGGGGCTCCCGGCTCATCCCTCCACCCACGCCGAGCTCCCCAGACATCAAGATGCTCCTCTTGCTCCTGGAGCCAGCTCTGACCCTCACGGGGATGCCCGCCCACCCCAAGGCAGCTCTCTAGCCGGCAGCCACATGCACTCAGGACCCGAGCTGCCCCAGAGCCACATCAGACCCTCCCCCGAGCCTCCCCTTGGCACCCACTCGCCCGAGGACCCGGCGACACACGGCCCTCCCCGCGTCCTCAAGAGTCAGGGCATCCCTGCCTCAGAAACCCCTTCCCCGTTCCTTTCAGAGGCAGCACCCCCTCCTCCCGTGGCTCAGCTTCAGTGCGCCTCTCGTAGGGGGCCACGCGCAACCGCCGTTCTTGCCCACAGCCTCTGCCAGGAGTGTCAGGAAGCAGGCCCCCAGCCCCAGTTTCCCTGTCTGTGAAGTGAGGACGCCACCAACACCGCCTGCAAGGATTGTGTTGGGGAGGCCATGAATTAACACGCAAGATGCTTGAAAGAGGGCTTGGCCGCAATGGCGTGCAGTGCTGGGGAGTGGGAATGGGCAGTTATTTGGTGTCCGTGGGATGTTAGGTGCCAGGGGCAGAGTGGGCCTTGCCCTAGGCCTGTCCCTGGGTGGAGGCATCAGGGTGGACATGGGGCAAAAGGCAGCCAAGGGAACGGGTGCCCAGGGCTGGGGCCCAGTCAGTGTCTCTGGAATCTAAATGCATCCCGGGCAGGCAGGTCCAAGGGGTTGAGAGAGGCTCTGCCCAAGGAAGGGCTGGTGCACACCCCCCAAAACCAAGGGCAGAGAGCCCCAGATGTGCTGCCGGAGCCCAGGGGTCTCTCCGCCACCTGGGGTCCACCTGACTCCAAGCTGGGCCGGTAGCCGGGGCTTCCTTGCTGACCCTCGGCGAGAAGGAAGCAGAGAGGCCACCACGATGGTCCTCAAAGCTCTTGATAGACTCGAAATGGAGAATTCCGTGCTTATCCTCAGATGGGGGCTGAGAGGCCTTCCTCCATGGTGGAGGGGAGAGAGAGGGGGCCATGGAGGGACAGGGTGCCTGGGGGCTGGGGCATGGGACCAAGGACAGGAGACAGCCGGCCTGGAACCGTTCCCCACTGGGGGCCCAGCCTCCAAGGGCGCAGCTGCCGGGCACAGCAGTGGGGCTGGGGAGGGCTGGGGGGCTGGCCCATCCTCGCAGCCGCCTCCTTCAGGCCTCCCGTTCCCCACTATGACGGCGGGCGCCCCGCCAGTGGGGCCTCCAGGGAGCTCTGTCCCCAGGTGGGGGGTAGCCTCTGGACCCCCAGCCACAGTCTCCTTGGCCCGTCCCACATGCCTCAGGCCCTCGTCCACTCTGCACCTCCTCTCCGGGCCGAGCGTGTCTGAGGCAGGGGCCAAGTGCACCTCCTCTCGGGCCAGCGGGGCCTCTTGCCCCGACGGCGCTGGCGTGGGGATGGCCCCAGGCCGAGTGGAACCTCGAGGCCAGGCGTCCAAGTCCTGGGGGCAGCCGGGCCTCCCGCCTCCTGCCCTGAGCCGATGAGGCCCCCCGGGGCCCGGAGTCCCCAGCCCCGAAGCCAGGGCAGCAATGTGCATGCCCACACCTGTCCTTACCCTGTCCTGGCGGGGTCAGCGCCCTGTGAGCCAGGCCAGCCCAGCTCTTGATCTGCTCCCCGGACTCTGGGGAGCAGTTTGGCTGAGCCCGGCCCAAACGCCCGAGAGACAGACCCACCCCAACCGGCTAGGGTGCCGCGAAGCCCCCACCTTGGACGCGGCAGGACCCTGGTACCTCCAGGGGCACCTGTGGCCTCTCGGGCCCCGGGCCTCCCGTTGTTCCTGCGCCTGCGTCTTCATCGCAGGCGTGTAATAAGTGACTGCAGACTGCCCTGCCGGTTGGCACAGGGCGCCTCACAGGGAGTGGCCTCTGGGTGCCAGGCTGCTGAGCTGCGTGCCATGCCTCGCATGCAGCCCCGAGGGGAAGGCCGGACCTGGCCCCACGCGACCGTCCGCCCGAGGCCAGGACCAGGGAGCCGCTCGGGGCCATGCCAACTGCTGTGTCTGCTGCCACTCAGCCCCTGCGGGAGCATGGGGACCAGGGAGGTGATGGGGGGCTGGGGGCAGGGTGATGAGGGGCAGGGGGTGACGGGGGGACCGGGGAGGGCGATAGGCGATCTGGGAAGGCTGATGGGGGCCGCTGGTCAGAGTGCCCACGCCACAAGACGGTCCACAGCACTGGCCACCCCTGAAGACTGTCCCGAGGCTCCCGGGGTGGGGGTGGGGCAGACCCCTGCCCTCCCCGTCTGTGTGCTAATGCCCTGGGCCCTGGCGCCCTGGCCGCCACCAGCCTGCCCTCTACAGAGAGACTGGAGCCCCAGCCTCCCCTCGGGCCCCTGAAAGCTCCCACTCCTCCGTAAATGAGGGCGCGCTCAGTTCGGCCAATGTCCGTTTATTCACACACACGCCTGGTGGGCACCTCCTGCGTGCGGGGCTCCGAGTGCCCGTGACCGATGACAGCTCAGGCCTGGCATGGAGCAGGGGGTCCGCGGGCAGAGCCCGGCCCACCCGGGCACCAGCCAGAAGCCACGAGAGGGCTGCACTCCCCGAGTCTGGGGAGCCTGGTCCCCACAGAACACAGTCCACACACTTAGAGGGTGAAGCATGGGCAGGTGCCAGCCCCAGGCCTGGTCACCCCAGACGCTGACGTCACCGGCTGCTGGGGGCAGCTGGGGTCACTTCCCAGGCCAAGTGGAAGACAGGAAGCCTGCCCTGCCCAGGAGGCAGGCGCCGCCGGCCCATCTCCCAGCCGGCTCCGGCCTGGAACCTCAGCCAGGCCCCACCTGCTCCCGCGGGGTCTGCAGGCCCCACACGCTCTGCTGAGGCCTGAGCCCAGGACGAGGGCCAGGGAGCCTCAGACCGCAGGTCAGGGGTCCCTTGGACGGCCTGTGGTCACTTAATGGGGCCTGAGACTCAGCCGTCAGAGCCCAGTGACCAGGGGCTTTCAGAGCTCCGCTCCAAGAGGGCAGGAGCGCAGGACAGCAGGCCGGAGCTGCAGATAACAGGGTGGACCGGAGGGTCGGGAGAGGCTGCTGGGGGTTGGGGCCTGAGAGGTGGGCTCAGGCCAGACTGAGCGCAGAGGCTGCCCCAGCTGGCAGACTTGGGGAGACTTCCAAATCCGCTGCACACCAGAGGGGAGCCTTCTAGGGCTAACTGTCCTGTGAGGGATGTGTAGAGCTTGGAGCAGGGGTCCTGGGTTCACTGCCACTACCTCCCTCTCCAGTCACCATTACAACCAATTCCGGCCTGGACATAAGCTGCATGCCAGCTCTAGCCACATCAGACTCTCTACAAACCCAAAACGTCAGGCAGGGTCTCTCTCTCATCGCTGTTCTTTCTGTCTGGAATGTCCTTCCTTCCTCCACATGGAAAACTCCTATTCATCCTTCAAAACCTTGTTCAAATGAGATAAGCACTCAGGACAATGACCATATAGTTAATTGGTCACATGCCCAGTTAATGACCATATAATCAAGCAACCAGGATTCTTGAGAGCTAAGACAGGACCCGTGAGTGCTTCTGCTGGGAAAACAGACTTAAAGTGGGCTTGTGGCCTCCTACCTACCATCCAAAGCTTGTTTCTCCCCTTAATGCGTGATAGTCCCAGGGACTGGGGCACTGTCTGCTAGAGCCTGGAATCCCAGCAACAAGGCCCCCGTGTCAGCCATCTCCTTGGACAGCCTTGGTTTCACCATCCCAGCTTCTGCTGGGGACACTGAAATTGCTGAGTCAGGAAGATTCTTGCTCCCCACTGACCCTCACAGGAGTCTCGGCAACCCAGTGTAACGAAGAGTCAGCCAAGACCAGAGGAACGAGGTGCTTGTCTGAGGTCATGCAGAGCTAGGAAAGACCCTGCCCCACGGGGATCTTGGCCCCACTGGCGCCCCACGTATGTTTCTGTCATCTGCATCATGGAAAATGGAAAGTCTTGACGGCACAGCCCTGTGTCCTAGCCCTGGTCCCAGACATGACTCACAATAGTTCAAATTCTACAAGCCACAGATGAAAGGGACAAAGTGAGGCAGCGTTTTGCTTCTTGGCCAGGGAATTTATTGAAAATGCTTTCTTGGCAATGAGCTTCCAATGATCAAATCAAGATGCTACAAAACTGTTAGGTTACAAATTGGATGGGTGGGTGGTGGATGGATGGTTAACAGATAGATGGATGGGTGGATGGATGGGAGAATGGATAAGGATATAGGAGGGGAGTGGGTAGGTGGATAGATGGCTGGATGGATAGATGGTGGATGGCGGGATGGAGAGATGGGTGAATGGATGAATGGGTGGATGGATGGATATTGAATGAATGGGTGGTGGATGATGAATGGAGGGGTGGATGCATGGTTGGATGGGTGAGTGTAGAAGGGAGGACAGCTGTGGACATATGAATGGCTAGGTGGGTGGATGAGGGGTTGGTGGATACCTGGAAGGGTAGATGGAGAGTTGGATGAAGGATCAAATGGATACTTGATTAGCGCTTTCTCTGACCAAAAGGCTGTAAGTCTGAGTCACAGAGAGTGACTGGAGAGGTACCCTCCACCCTGAGGCTGTGGACTGCAGGCACGCGTATGCCGAGCGGCTTCTCAATCCCCAAATAAGGTGGACAAAGTCCACTCTGGCCGCCTGGGGAGCAGGAAGCCCGGGAGGGGTGGGAGGGGGCTGAAGTCAGTTCCTTCGTTTCTAAACAATGGGCCTGGACTGATCCTTGCCCTCTGCCGCCCTGCTCCACCCAGGCTGCCTCCACCTCTGACGGGGTGCTGGGGTTCTCGGGGCTGGACGCCAGGGAGCTGAGGGTGGGGGGCTGGAGAACAGAAAAAGGGCCCGGCAGTGGAAAAGGTGATGCTCCTCTGGGTAAGGCTCCTGGCCTGGCTCCGGCTGCCCTGGATGCCCCCCAGGCTTCATGGAGAGACTGGCCTTTCTGCAGGGCCTGGGGAGGACTTGGGGCTGCCTCCCCGACACTGCCCAGAACTCTCCTTGGCTTCTTCTCCACGTTCGTTTCCTTCAGGTCACTCAGCTGAAGGCCCAACAGCCCCCTTCTCTCTCCTCCATCCCCTTCCTTTTGCTGGCCCTCCCCTAGCTCCCCAC